CTGATGACCACAGCGGCGAGAAGCAGACCGCAAAACAAGGAATCTAGAGGACCTCGGTGACGCTTTCCCTCTTGAGGCCCTTCGGTGTGTTGTTTGGGATCCCTCTTGGGCCGTCTTGGAGGCCTCCTGGGCCGTCTTGGAGGCCCTCTGGGCCGTACTGGAGGCCATCTTGGGCGCCTTGGAAGCTCATGTCCCAGGCATGAATGCCTTTTTGTGGTCGTTCTTGATGGCCGGCGGGTCGGGTTGGAAGGACCAGACATCGTTCTAAATATGTTGGCACGCCCACATCCGGCAGACTGCGGGGGCAGCGGATCTAGCATCGTTTGGCCCATGCCGCCACCGAGATTGGGTTGTTCGAGTATAGCCAGGACCACAGGTAAGGTAGTAGGGCCTCGGAGCCCATAAATTTGTCAGAATCTTTGAACCAGGTCTGCCGTATCTGGTGCTTTTTCGTGTGACGGCAGTTCCAGATAGTGGAACGGGGCGGGGGTGGGGCGTCCCCCAGTATACATCACGAAACCATGTTCCACTAAACTCGGGCCGGACGAAAGGGGGGGATTGGGAAAGGGGGGGTTACGAAATCTGCTGCATGCAGCTGGTTTCGGCCCCACCGAGGGGCCCACTCCTCGATACATAGCCGCCTCTGGCGCCGGGAGTCGCCGGGAAAATCAGCTACGCGTGCTGATTCTCAGACTCCTCCTTTGCTATCCCCCCCTTTCGCTCGGCCCGATAAACCCAGTTCTGCCAGCGCCAGAGTTGTGGGTCAGAGGCCTCTGAGATGCCTCTTGGGGTCCCGCGGGATGCCTGTCGGAGGCCTCTGGAGGTCTCCCGCGGGCCTCCTCGGGCCGAGAGCGTGGGATGGCCCTTAGGCTTAAGTCGGGCGTGCCCCTCTACAGGAGGAAAATGCAAAAATAGTAAAAAAATAGTCTGGGGGCAATGATTCGGCTATTTCTGATCAGGTTTTTTTTTGTTGTTGCTGTTGTTTTAATTTTTATGTTTCGTCCAAAATCGGCTTGTAGGAGGACATGCACGACCTAACTCTAGGCGGTCCTGGAGGCCATCTTGGCCAAAGAGGGTTCACAGCGGGGCCAGTTCGGGTCCCCCCCGCAGCAATCGGTGTAACAAAAATGAAAAATCTGGCCTCTCGAAAGTCACGCGGACATCCCCAGGACCGCTCGGAAGCACTCAAGGGCCCAAAAGGCGCTCAGATATTTTGGGTTTGGGGCTTTTCAAGAACCTAGACATAGGGAAGTCGCCGTAAGGCGGCGGATCTTGAGGCCCGTCAGTCATCAGATGCCCTTTTGGAAACATCGCAAGCCGAACACATTAGAAGTACAAGTGCATGGCACACCCTTGGGGCCGTCCGGGAGTCCCATTGGGGCCATCTCGTGGCATTTGGGTTTTTCTCTAATGATTATTCAGGCCTTTCTCGGCCCGTCTTGAGCCCCTTATGGGCAATATCGGCGTCATCTTGGACCCTTTTGGACCATCAAGGGGCTTTCGGGGCGGCGTTGGGCTTGTTGTTGGCTACCTCTGCGACATCTTTGTGCATCTTGGAAGCCACCTTAGGATTGCGTTGATCAACTAAACCAGCACAACAGAAGGCGCCCCTGGCAGCAGAAGGCAAACTGTGCATGGAGAGGTTTGAAGAGCCAGATCGAGGGGGAACTAGAACTCAGCACGCCCACCATCCTTGCGGCCACAGTAGGTGGCGGATCGAAGACGCCTGTGGCGAGTCATTGCCGCTCGTAAGTCTTGGAGGATCTTTATGAAACCAAACGGTGGCTCCCAGCTGTTGTGGAAACCGCTTGGAGAGCACTGGATGTGATTATCCACTTGTACGGGGGTTCTCGGACCCTCGTAGGGCTCCCAGCCACAATTTCAGGCCACCTTCTTGGCCCTGGGGAGCCTCTTGCGGCACCGAGCGTCACAAGGTGGATGTTGACGGCATAGCGCGACCAGCTTGTGGAAAGGTGTCGAAGAGCCAACAGTCGGCGGCGAGCGAGGGGGGGAAGTGAGAAGGAGAAGGCCTTCCCAGAAGGTTCGGAAGTTCCCCGGCCTTCTGAGAAGTTTCCTAAGCCTTCCCCGAAGACAGACAACACTTCTCACAAGGCGCGCGGGCTTCTGAGAAGTGCCGCCGCCTTCTGAGACGGGCTTCTGCTTCTCCGTTCCCCCCTCGCTCGCCGCCAAAGAAGTCCAGACAATGTGTAATCAGCTGTCCCCAATCAGGCACGCCAGGCCTCGCTGTCCTGAACCACAGGGGCTTGCAGGTCGGAAGGGCCTCATGATTGGCACGCTGGTAGGCTAACCAGTAGGTATCGATCGGCTGCTTGGTTCATCGACTGGGAATGGGGTGATTCGTTAATCTGTTGATTGGTTCATCGGTTGGTAGGATTCTTGGTTGGCTTGCTTGTTCGTCGACTGACTGGTAGGAAGGCAGCCTGGCCGTGTCGCTGGCTGGCAGACTGGCCGGTTGACAGGCTGGTTAGCTGTTCGGCAGGCCGTTGGTCATCTTTCGGCTATTAGTTGCCTAGCGTATATGTCTTTGGTCGGCGCTTCAGCTGAAATCCATAGTAAGGATGCGTTGCTTTTTCACGGCTACCCTTGCATCCCTGTTTCGTCGGCTCAGCCTGAGCCAATGTTGATGTCTAATGAGCTCTGAATGGCAATTGGTACCTCCAAAGATCTTGCATCCTTACCTTGCATCCTTACTACGGGTTTTGACTTCTCTACACTCTTTCCCCACCACGCGCCGCGGGCGGCGCAGAATGCGCCGCTGGGGTGCGGGGATGTGACTCCAACGCCTACCTCAGAAATCTGCGCGGAGCTCGCACAGCTGAGTGTCAACTTTCTATGTATTGTTTGTCTTCTGCGGACGGGAGAATTGAAGAGGGAAGGCTCCGTTTTGTCCCTGTAGTCGAACTTCCTTGGACCCCCCCGTCTGCGTCCTTCCGTGGTCCTTGTGTGCTCCGAGCGCCACCCGCAGGGCTCACTTCGGTCCGATCGATCGGATCCGATGCCGATCTCGGCCGGCCCGAGCCGATTCGATTCCGATATCCCGCCGATGCGATGTTGCCCGATGGTTGCATGTAGTTGATGTGCATCTTGGCGCAGCCGATCTGATTCGATTCCGACTCCGCGCCCATGCCACCCGATCCGACTCGCACTTTGTTTCGACCCGGTGTCTCGATTTCGATGCTGACTGATTCACGACGTCTTCATCGCATGGCACCCCCAAACGTGAAACAGACGCTCCCAACGATTTCTTGTTTGCGACATCGCGCGGGCGCCGATTGGGCGCGAAGGCGAGAAGGGCCGCATCTTGTAACCGAGCAGCTCTTATATCATATACCAGGGTACCGTGGGCCAGGGCCCCGGGCCGGGACACCCTCCCGAATTTCCCCCCCCCCCCCCCCCGTAACCCTTTTTGCCCCCGGGCGTCCGGAGACGCTTTTGCGCCCCCGGAGGCGTCCACCACGGCTTCCGTGGACGGCAAGAAGCCGCCAAGACGGCCCAAGAGCGCTCCAAGACTCAAGATAGCCCCATCAAGGGCCAAGGGGCCCCCAAGAAGCCCCAGGGGCGCTCCGAGAGGCTTTCCAAGAGAGCCCCAAGAGGCTAACATCATATATTTTCCTTGTGTTTTTCAATGTTTTTTGCTTGCCCGCGTTTCGGGCTTCTGACCTTCCCAGATTGCCGAGGAAGCTTCGAACATCGCCCCAAGACGGCCCAAAAGGCCCCCGAGAGGCCTCCAAGACAGCCCAAGAGGGCGCCCAAACGGTCCAAGAGGCGCCCAAGACGGCCCAAGAGGGCTGCAAGACGGCCCCAAGAGGTGCTAAAGAGGGGGAACACGAACCGACAATGGAGATTTCCGCCCCAATGGGCCCCAAAGAGGCCCCCAAGAGGCCCCAAGAGGCTTAAAAATGCCCCCATCAGAGACCCCAAAGAGGCACCATAGGCCCCATGATGCCCCAAAAGGGCCCCCCGGAGGCTTCGAAACATTTCAAAATTGCTTCCCCCAAGAAGCACTCCAGAGGCCCCACGAAGCCCACTGAATGCCTCAAAGAAGCCCCTACAGTCCGCAAGCGGCCCCCCATGTTGATTTTTCAAACCATGCTGAAGCCATTCGTCGGTACGTGCATTCGTGCAGCCGTGACTTTGTCAATGCGCGCAGCCGCGGTATTGTCAAGCGCCTGCGCTTGCTAGAACCTAAGCGCGCGCGTGGTTCTAGTCATTATATCGTGGGTGCCCAAACGTGGTTATATCGTGGTTTCTAGTCATTATATCGCTGGCCGTGTTTCCCGTAATGCGTCTGCCACCAGCAATGACTGATCGGCCACCAGCATTGATTGATCGGAACCAGCAATGCTCCCCTCGGAGCATCGACGGAACCAGCAATGATTGACCAGAGCATGTTACATTATCCCCAGCCATGTCAAGCTTGGTTACGCGATCGTTGCATATGTCACAACGCATCGCGCGGGATGATTGAGCATCGGCCCAACGCAAGGTAACCGCGACGCGGGTAACCAGATGGGCTCGCGGGGACAAGCGGCGCGCTCATGGGGTGGCGGCACAAGCGGTGCCAAAGACCGACAACGCACAGCCGCTACATTTCGGGGCAGGGGCGCGAACAAGAGCGGGGAACAGCACCTACACGTACGCACCACCAGGGCGAATCAGACCACATACCCACATTTTGTCTAGGTGTGCTCCAATAAAGCTTTGGGACGAAGGAGTCAATGGACGCGCGTTTCTCCGCAAGCGGCGCCCGCCGTGATCTCGCCACGCATCGCGCTGCAATGGAATCAGTGGGCACATTGCAGATTATGCAATGTGCCCAGTGGAGGGCGGCCCCGTTATACCCCGCACGCGTGCGTTTGCGCATAAATTGCCAGCGGGTGCGCACAGTTCGCAAATGACTCAGACACCAGAATTCATCTGAATACTTCTTTGTTGGGGGTGTCCTGCGGTTACTGGGCGGTCACTGATCCCGCCCCGAGGCTGGACACAGGGCCATCTTCGGGGCCAGGAACTCGTCCCACCTCTACCAGTTCAACCTCAACTCAGGCTGCTGCCGACGGATACGTTGAGGACGAGGAGGATTCGGCTTTGCTTGGAGCTACAGTTTTCCATCGGTCTGGGCCCTCACCTCCAGGCCCATGTCGATGCGATCTGTCTCGTTCGATATCGTTTTTTGCCAGTTCGATCCGATTCGATGCTGATTTCCCTGCGATCCGATGCGGACAATGTTTACATGACGTTGTTGCGCATCTTGGCGCAGCCGATCCGATTCGATGTCGATTCCGCACCGATGCAACTCGATCCGATGCACATTCCGATTCGATACGATTTTCCGATGTTGATTGATGTTGCCCCTTCCGTTATCCAAGTTGGGCGTGGTTCGAACCAGAACGTACGGACTGGTTACAGATGTTGGATATCGAAAGAGTTAGTGGCCAGAAATGGACAAACGGCGGGCACCTTACCCACGGGTAAACTGTCAGAACCTCTGATGATGGGGCCCCTTGTATGCGCATAGTCCTGCGCGCGAAATGGTTGTCCCATTCGCGCTTGCATTGAAGGGACCGTCGCGGAACATCTCACGCGTAGGCAGAATTGCTTTATCGATTTCGGACGTCGGTTGGGTTAATTCTTGAGATTTTCGTTTGTAGTCGGGTCCTCGGGTTCCAGGGAGCCTGAGATTTTGCATGACGGAAATGCTGGGCCAGGAGATGTGTCGAATTCCCAGCCGTCGTCCGCCCCGAGCCGTTTCGAATCGTCAGCCGTCGGCGGCCCATTGCTTGCCCAGACGGCCCCCCAGACGAATTTGAGTCTTGGATGTTGGTCCAATGCGCATATGTTTCCACACACACATCGTTTTCCAGACGCAGTGACGCATTGATAGTTGACCAATTCGTCAAGTGCGTCGGGCTTCACCCTCTAACTTCCGATACGAGAGGTCAGTGACGTGTCGAGCTTCAGGCTCGAACCCAGTTGGGGGATGATTTCAAGGCGTCGGGTAATTCAGCATCCAATCCAGAGCGTCCACCGTCTCGCTGTGCATGCTTCAAGCAGCGACCCTCCTCTCAGTCGCCAGCCGCCTTTCGGGCCCCAAGGTGGCTCCCGTGCTCGCGGGTCGCGTTCGTGTTCCTGCTCCCGGTGCCGTCGGCTCCTGCCGCTTCGTCTCCCGCTCCTGCCTTGGCCTGCCTGTCCCCCTACGCACCCGTTCGAGGCTTCGCCTCCTGCCTCCGCGTTCCTGTTCCCGCCTCCACCCGCAGCCCTGCCTCGATGATAATGATGATGATGATGATGATGATGATGATGATGATGATGATGATGATGATGATGATGATGATGATGATGATGATGATGATGATGATGATGATGATGATGGTTGTGATGATGATGATGATGATAATGACGATGATGATGATGACCATGGCTATGACCATCATGCTGATGCCGATGCTGATGCTGGTGATGATGATGATGATTATGATGATGCTGATGATGATGATGATGATGGTGGTGGAGGTGGTGGTGGTGGGGCTGGTGGTGGTGATGATTATGCTGATCCCTGCCTCAGGTCAGCCAGACATCCAGTTTGGACGACACGCGCCGGGGACCTTGAGCGACTACGGAATTCTTATCGCTGGCACTGGCAAGGGTGCGCGGGCGGGCCGCTTCCTGCAGCATCAGTCCGATACATCAAGGAGGACATGCAATATTTGTCAGCGTGGACCCCAGTCAGTACGTTTTTGCACTGTGGATGTGCAAGTAAGACGGCCAAGCCATGTGGCGTCAGCTACGCGGCGCAGTCTATGTCATGTAAGCTACGCAGTGCAAGTTCTGTGGTGCAATCTATGCGGTGTAAGCTATGCGGCGTCAGCTGTGTGGTGCGCAAACGGTGCGGCGCAAGCTACTTGATGAAATCAAGGTGGCTTACGCGGTGAGGTGCAATCTTGCGAACGCGTTACGGCCAGAGCCGCCGACCCTGAAGGCGGGACCTCGCCCAGGACCTCCCTGGCGACAACCCCCGGGATCCACCGGGACCCGGGGGAGGGGCAGCAACCCGGGACCCCCCCCCCCCCACTCCCCTCCGTTACCTCCACCCGCCCACCCCCTCCAGGCAGGGAAGGGATGGAGGAGGGAAGTGAATCGACATCAGTTTCCTTGCTCCTTCATTTCCGTGGCACTGGCGACGACGACGACGACGCCAGCGTCTCACACACGCTGAAGGGTCTGCGGAGTTGTCGTGTATGCTGTGTGTGTTTTAGCTACGTGGTGCACGTCATGTGGTGTATGCTATTCAAGGGGCCCAGGGACACAAACAGATACACACAAATCCCAAGATTCCCTATATTTCTCGTATTTTCTGGGTTTTCGTCTTCCCGCCCACTTCCCATATTTTCCCATATTCTTTTGGGAATCGACGATTGATTGTGTCTGTGTGTTTTCCCCTCCTGAGCTACGTGGTGAACAGTGACAGCTACGTCATGACGATGTACCAGCCGCATACACATATGTTGAAACCTCGGAGCACACATCAGCAGCAGCCTTCATAATCAGGCATCACGACATGCACATAGAGCATCCATTCAGCTTGCGCACCACGACCACTTACCAGCACCATTAATCAGCAAGGGACACCGTGTACATGTATCAAGCGCATACACGTGCATCACGTATGCGATACACCTGGCACTTGCATCTAATCATTGCGCACACTAATGTCAGAACTCCATCTTTCTGAAACAGTTGCACAGGTCATGAGCGCGCATCAACAACACGGGTCGCCAGCATACCCCGAAATCAGAGACAGGTAACATACCATCACAGAAAGCCGTACCATACACATAAAACATTGACGCGACGCCACGTCACACAACACCAGAGCGGGCGTCAACATCATACACCAAGACCGCACATCACATGCATCCAGGCGTACACTTCGCACATGCAGCACTAATACATCTTCACCACTCGTCCAGAACCTACACCTGTAGCAGCCACGAGAAACAGACCAGGTACACACGCAACACGGACGCGTTCATTCTATTCACCAGGCGCCCGCATCAATGACGCCGACATGCAAGTACCATATATCAGTTTCACCAACCCGTAGCACCAAGGGCATACACCATCGAACGTCGATGTGGTACAATGGGCAGATCTACTATACACCTTCACACGTGTGCACGAGGACCACATTCGACGACATGAGGACATGTCAAACATTTCGAGCGAGGGCAGCAGTCATACGTACGCAATTACGCGGAGCACGGCAGAGTGACAGGCGATTGATTTCGACGCCATTCGCAGCAGGCCTTTTGCGGATATCACCCGACGCAGAATCAGGTTATCCATGGTGGACCTGTTTGTGCGCCATATGGTGATCGCATGGAGTACGCTTCGGGTCGGTTTGGGCTCTCTGGTACATTTTCTTGACATTCTGGGCCCCTCGGTGCGGATCCTTGGACCCTGTTGGCAGTCTGGTGGCGTCCGGTCGGGATCTTGGGGCCGTGGGGTGCGGCCGGGGCGCTGAGGTTTCACTGGCGTTTTTCGTGCAGCCGTTGGACCCCGAGTGGCATAAAGGAGACAGGACTGGAGAAACACCAGGCAGGAGTCAGGTGGCAGGATATGATAAGGACGACACGATGCACTACAGTGGGGGCTCGCATTAAGAAACCATCTTCTTTTTGTCAGGGCTCCCTGGGTTTCTTCGCTCCGCGCGCTGCGCGGTGACTTCCCGTAGCCGTTGAAGAAGGTGTTGCGTTCAGAGTGCTCGGGGTTTCCCCTCGGGTGCACCTCGCGCGCGCATTTTCAGGGTTGGCTTCTTGCGGCCGCGCCCACACTGTGGCAGCTAATCAGCAGCCAATCAATGAGTGTTGTTACCCAGTACCTCTCGAGAGCGCTCACGGACTACGCTCCTTTGCCACAGTATGCCATGTTTTTGTTTGTTCTCTCAGACTATGTTTAGTTTCCAACTCACATTTTGGAAATCATGTTTGCATTGGGGCTGCCACTAGGTTCCCCACTGTGTGCGTGCAGTGCTTATGAAACTGACCGTGTTTTGGAAAGTAGTATCTTCCTACTTTGTTGTGTTGGCCTGAATCTCATATCTTCCCTCACACCCTTGACAACCACGATTACCACGCCTTGCAACCACCACCGCGCGCATCAACTCAATGAGTCTTACATTTCATTCGGGAATCAAGACCACTGTGATACACTTAGCGACTAAACATAGGCGCGCGAATAGCAGAGAACAGTACGTTTCCTCCCGCGTAAGACGCATGCCCAAGGGCGGTTGCAAAGGTCAAAACCCCTCGACGGCACGAGGGTGTATTATCGAGCTGTCTTTGGACGGGCGTTCTCCACGTCGGAACATGTTTTCGTATTCCGTTCTTCGTGCCAACTAAAAGGGACTCAGAGGCAATGCGACAGTGAGTTGGAGGCCCCGTTGCGATAGGATAGTAGGGTGTGGGAGTTCCCCAATACCCCAGGGAACCCACATTCGGACGTGTTTCCGAACGTTTTTTTTCTGCGGTTGGTCGGTAGTTTTTCGAGGGTTGTTCGGCGAGTTTTCCCGGCGGAACCCCCCAAAAAAACCATTCAGATGTTTTCGTTGTTCCGTTAGTTTTCCCAACCCTCTTTGGTTGGGTATTCATTTTGAATAGAGCAGTGTGGTCTCCACTCCCTCCTTCCCTCCTTCCTTCCCTCCTTCCTGTCTTGCCTGCGGGGGGCTGCGATCTGTGAAACTGTCGCCACTTTCGAGGCCTGCTGGGGCGCCCAGCACAGTGACGCCACACGCAGATTCAAAGTAGACCTCGCCATCCCTGGGGGGGGCTGCGATCTGTGAAACTGTCGCCACTTTCGAGGCCTGCTGGGGGACCCAGCACAGTGACGCCACACGCAGATTCAAATTAGACCTCGCCATCCCTGGGGGGGCTGCGATCTGTGAAACTGTCGCCACTTTCGAGGCCTGCTGGGGGGCCCAGCACAGTGACGCCACGGCGGATTCAAATTAGACCTCGCCATCCCTGGGGGGCTGCGATCTGTGAAACTGTCGCCACTTTCGAGGCCTGCTGGGGGGCCCAGCACAGTGACGCCACACGCAGATTCAAATTAGACCTCGCCATCCCTGGGGGGCTGCGATCTGTGAAACTGTCGCCACTTTCGAGGCCTGCTGGGGGGCCCAGCACAGTGACGCCACACGCAGATTCAAATTAGACCTCGCCATCCCTGGGGGGCTGCGATCTGTGAAACTGTCGCCACTTTCGAGGCCTGCTGAAGGGCCCAACACAGTGACGCCACACGCAGATCCAAATTAGACCTCGCCATCCCTGGGGGGCTGCGATCTGTGAATCTGTGGCCACGTTCGAGGCCTGCTGGGGGGCCTAGCACAGTGACGCCACACGCATATTCAAAGTAGACCTCGCCATCCCTGGGGGGCTGCGATCTGTGATCTGTCGCCACGTTCGAGGCCTGCTGGGGGGCCCAGCACAACGACGCCACACGCATATTCAAATTAGACATCGCCATCCCTGGGGGGCTGCGATCTGTGATCTGTTGCCACTTTCGAGGCCTGCTGAGGGGCCCAACACAGTGACGCCACACGGAGATTCAAATTAGACCTCGCCATTCCTGGGGGGGCTGCGATCTGTGAAACTGTCGCCACGTTCGAGGCCTGCTGGGGGGCCCAGCACAGTGACGCCACACGCGGACCCACATTAGACCTCGCCATCCTTGGGGGGCTGCGATCTGAGATCCCCGCTTTCGAAATAAATGGCTAGGGTTGCTCAGGGATTGTAACTAATCAGCTTTATCTAGTCCTTGTCCTGTAGCCAGTGTCCTGCGAGTCTCCCGAATTCCGTCTGCAGACATATGTAACCCTCGCTCCTTCATCGCCCCCTTTATAAAGTGTCCTAAACTATTTGCGCCCCGCGTTTGCGCAGGGGTTGGGTACGTCGCCAGGGTAATTGCCCACACATCTTGTGATGTTGGATCTTCGTTTTGAAGAGACGGTGCCCCGCGTTCTCTTCCTCCTCCTCCTCCTCCTCCTCCTCCTCCTATTCCTCCTTCTCCCCTCCTCTCGTCCTCCTCCCACTCATTCCTCCTCCCGTTTCCCCTGCACTTTGGCACACCCCTCACACGCTTCTTGGCCCCATAGGGAGCTCCACCCAAGACCCCATTGGCGGCGTTCACATGCCGCCTCCTGTCCACTTTGGCACACCCCTCACACATTTAGCTCCACCCAAGACTTCAGTGGTGGTGTTCACGTGCTGCCTCCTGTCCATTTTGGCATACCCCTCACACGCTTCGTGGCCTTGTAGGACCTCCACAATGGGCCCTAGTGGCTGCGTTCACACGTCGCCTCCTGTCCACTTTGACCCCTCACACGGTTCGTGGTCCCATAGGGAGCTCCACCGAAGGCCCCAGTGGCATGGCTCGCATGCGTTTCGCCCACCCAGTACAGCATTCCTTGGCCACAGGGGGCTCCACCGAAGGCCCGAGTGGCGGTGTCCGCATGCGTCTCCCCCATTGGTGATAGCGCTTCGTGTCCCAATAGGAAGCTCCCCCGACTGCTCTAGTGGCGGTGTCCGCATGCGTTTCCCCCGCCCAGTACAGCGTTTCGTGGCAACATAGGGAGCTCCACCGAATGCC